GTAAAATAATAGTATATAAAAATACAAATTACTAAAAAGCAAAAAGGAAATAAGAGTTCATGTCCACTAACAATTCTCTATAAATAAGTATACACAACAAAAGAAAATATATTGACACGAGCATAAATTATTCATAAACACTAACCAACCACATCATTAATAATAAAAAAATTGTATAAAAGTTTGATTAGTTATCATCACCAACCCTAAGCATTTTATCATTAGAGTTATAATCCTTTGTGCATTTTATCCTTTCAAGTTTTTTTTATTTTTTATTTTTATGCATAGTGAAATATTAAGGGTTTAATACGAAAGGAATTGTATTAAAATAAGTCAGCACTTTGATGTTTGATCCCTTTCCAATGTAACAAAAAGAAAGTATTATTCTTGGCTTTTTTCCCCTTTATGTTTCTTTAGAAATATTCAATTAATTTGACTTCCTTTTTTGTGGAAACTTAGTTATGAATAAATATTCGGTATATTGCGGAATTTTTATGTTCAAATGATTGGGATTCCATTCCAACCTTTTTTTATATTTTGTTATTTCTCACCAAGAAGAAAACAAAACAAAAGAGATGGTATTAAAAGTGGACACACAAATGATAACGATGGTCACATGTCTAACAACCCCAAACACTGCGGCGACTTCAGCTTTTCAAACTCACTGCTACATTTGTCCCGTTTCTGCCTTCTTCATGTTTCTTGGTACAACACTAAACAACACTAAATTATACGTAGCTCAAGGTCGGTCTATAAATTTTGAGGGTTTTATACAAAACTTAAATTGAGACTCTTATACTGACATGAAAACACTATATAAAAATAAATATGGGACTTGGAACCCACGTGTCCAATGAAATTAGAAGGGCCGCAAACCAATTCCACTAGTTAAATGTGTAAATATGTTGCGCATTCACATATATTGTATATATACACAAAAAGTAAATAAATAAATTTGGGATTTGATAGAGTTATTCATATTTCAGCAAAATAAAGAAGAAAAAACTTGTTTAACAAAATCTTCAAGGGTAAATTGCATTTCATGCTAAAATGGATTTTCTACTTTAGAAATGGCGGAAACCTCATATGCCGAACAAACCACAGCAAATAGACCCCATGGCCATCCTATCAAACGACACTCGGTGAGGCATGCGGAGCCCCTCACCTCCTGTCCCCAACCGGAAGACATTCATGCCGATTGCCCGTGAGGCCCCTTTTCGTTCAAGCAAATAATTCAACTATTTACAGACATGTGTCGCCACCTCGTGCCGTGTTTGAAGTCCCACACCAAAATATTACGAAGAGTCTAAATAAACGGAAAGGGTATAATGAGCATTTTTTATCGGGTTGGGCTGAAGCCTGTACGACATATTTTGCTAGATTTTGTTTGATTACTTTAAAAAAGGTATATGAGTTCGGATTCGGGTTAATTCTGGCGGGCAAGACCTCAACTCAATCCTAATTCAAAAGTGATCCAACCGGCCCATTCGGGTTAACACCACAACGGGTTGGGTTGGGTTTGGGCATATCAAGTTGACCCGACCACCCCTCCAATACACACAACAGAAACGAAGCCGTTTTAGGCCTTACAAACTCGTCTCCCTCTCTCCCAGTGATCACGCTCCTAAAAACACAGAGCAAGGCTGTAAGAAAAATGGAGGTGAAGAAGGAGCAGAGCACGAAGAGGAACAAGCAGAAGCAGGGAAGGTTCTGGACATGGGTTGCAGCATCAGTGTTGTTCAGGCTCATTCTCATCTACTTCCCCAAAAATCTCAACCTCTCTTCTCGCCCCGAAGTCTCCACCCCTCTCACCAGCCTCCGTCGCCGTAATTTCTCTCTCTATCTCTCTCTCTCTCTCTCTCTCTCTCAATCTTGCTCAGAACCATACCTTCTCAAGTTTCGGCTTCTATCTCTTTCAATTCAATTGTTGTTTCTTTTTTTTTCAGTGGCTGAGGGTTACTGGTTGAAGCAGTCGTCAATGTCTCCCTATGCAGGTTTCTCATTGTTGGTTGTCTATCTTCTTATATAATTCATGTTTAATTTTTCAAAGATTGTAATTTTTTTTGTTCTTTACTGCTTTTGCAGGATCTATGTACCACGGATCTCCTTTGTTACTCTCACTTCTTGGGCCACTCACAGTCAAAAGGTACCGCTTCAGCTTAAGCTTTTTCCTTTTTCAGTGTTGTTCCCATTAGCATCATTCTACGTGATTTATTTTGAACCATGTTTGGTTTCGTTAGTTGTTCTAAGACTCTAAGTTTTGGAATTGGAGGCCCAACTGCAAGTTCCAGTTTAAATTCTCTTCCATTTTCATTGTTTGATAAATCATTTTTTTTGGTTCAAGAAAAACATTGGTTCAATGAATGCCCCAATTAAGGAAATGTTAAAATCTGGTGCTGGATTTTGTTTTGTCCTTTTTCAGTTGGTAATTTGCTGAACATTTTAATTGGTGCTGCAGAATTGAAGGGCAACCCAGTCATCTTCTATGCAGGTAAGAATTGTCTTTTACCATTTTCTTAGTTCTCTCTCTGTAGCTCAGTACTGCCTTTCAATAAGTTCATATTTATTTTGTATAAGTTTGTCATATTTCATGTTCCAATAATTTAGAATTCCCTTAATTTTCTTCTTTCATTGGTTGACTTATTCTGAATATGTAGTCAGGCAGTTGATATCGACACATTCTTGGGTACAGTTTGGTTTTTGTGGTTGCAGATATATTGAATGCAATGCTTATTCGTGCTACTGGTCAGACTCTTCAGGTTGCATATAGGCAGAGTTTGAAATCACTAGATCTTGATATGATATCGGAAAGCATGGGTAATTCTAACATTTAAAGATCAATTACTTCTCTTTAGTCCTGTTTATGGATAGTCATATTTGATTGTATGAATTCCCCTAATGAAGTCTAAATTGTTATGCAACAAAGCAACTAGGTATCGATAGATGCAGCTAGTATATCTGGTTGTCTTGTTGAGACACAATTTTGATAGATCTAAAATTTGGAATCTTAACAGACTGGCTTTGCCTGAATAGCTATATGAAATCATTATAATTGACTTATAGTTATGGGCATATGCCACTTTGTTGAAAAGCTTAACTTTTGATCTCATTTATGTGCATCATTTGTGCAACTACATTAAAATGCAAAGCTTTGCCTTCCGCATGCCATTCACAGGCTGATGCATGGCTTATATTTGTTGTTTTCAGAGGTCCTCTCTTCAGGAGATATTGCTGCTCTTGTGTACCTGTGGAATCCTTTTACAATAGTTGCATGTGTGGGTTTGTCAACATCTCCAATTGAAAATCTAGCCATCATATTGGCCCTCTATGGAGCATGTAAACGTAAGTTAACTACAGTCCTTGTGATTAACTACAGTCCTTGTGATTTGGCAATTTAAATGTTTCTTTTAGGTTTTTTAAGACTCTTTTAAGTATTCTTCTTTCGAAACTTGTTTTTGTCATTTTGTTCATGAGAATGTTTACTTCCTTAAAAGGATCATATAATACACTCCACTTGGGTTACAAGATTCCTGGTTTCTGGTTTAGATTGTATAGGCACTCATGTGATAGACATTCTCCATATAAGTCCTTGCCTGTATATTGTTGTGAGTTGTGACAGTTTATAATCTATTACAGAAACTAACAAGTTTTGGATGTTTAAATTTTCATTTTAATTCTAGTTTTAGCAGTATCACTGGACGTCCCTACTTAAGTGGTAATAATACCATGCAAGTTCAGTCACATGACATCAGCACTCCATTTCATGGTAGAATAATATTCTGATTCTGTGTGCATGCTGACACTTTCTCAAGGAAGACATTCTTTCTAATTCCGTTTGACAATATTTGTTTGTCCATAATCAGTATGTTTTGAAGTGAGATATTAGCATTTGATTTAGGGATGGATGAAGGCACATGGGGAACTTTTTTTGGCTTATGCTCTTCTTTTTAACTTTAACTTCCTTTCTGATATTGTTCTTCTGATGAACTGTAGGAATGGTTCCCTTGGCTGCTTTTGGATGGGTCATGGCAACACATCTGTCTCTTTATCCTATGATTCTCATAATTCCAGTATGCCCCTATTTTCATTGACTTATCATGTTTGGTGTAATTATAAAAAAAATTGTGCAATTCTTCAATGAAATTATGTTTCTTATCAAAAAATAAAAAAATAAAAAGAATTTTCGTGCAACATTTGAAATCTATTTTGTGTGTTTTCTTTCTCACTCATGCATATTGACAAATATTTAATCTTGTTCCAGATAATTCTTTTATTAGGATATGGTCCAGATACTCCTAGGAAATTGTTGCTGATGAGGAGATATGGTAAAGTTGAAGATAACTCGTCAAGTGATAGTTGTCAACAACAGGAGAAAGTTATTAATCAATCAGACCTACCCAAAGTTTTCACTTGGAGACCTGCCATGCTTTTCTTATTGTGGGCTATTGTGTGGTCAGTCTATGTGTTACTCCTTTGTGGCATATCTGTTAAACATTATGGTGGTCTCTGGGAGATGTTTGAAAGGTATCAACAGCTCATTGTACATGTATGCATTTCCTTATGCTCAAATATTCTAGATGTTTGTGCAAAATAAGATATATATAAAAAAATCTGTTGAAAAGGAGA